CAGGGGTCAGCGTCCTACACCCCCCCCCCCCCCCCCACCACCCACCACCACTCAGAAGGCACGTCTGGAACATTAGGCCACTGATTCCCATCCACCCAACCAAAGAGGTCAGCTGAGGGCAGGAAGGCTTCCTTGGCCCCTAGGCTGGGGCCTGGCATGCTGCAAGGGGGTAAGGAGGAGGCCAGGAAAGCAAAGACCCTTAACAGCAACTTGGCATCAGAAAGGATTGCTGTGTTGTGCGGGTGGACAGCCCAAAGAGGGAAAACAGCCAAAGCTTGGAAATCCACAAGGTGGCGCTCACAGCCTCATGGGCTCATTCATCTTCCATCTTGAAAGGTCAACCCTGAATTCACACCGTCTTGGTCCAAATCCCAGCTCACCACTTACGAGACTAGTTAATCACCCTGTGCCTCAGTTTCTTCATTTGTAAAATAGGAATGGTAATAATAGTACCTTCCTGATAGGGTTTTGGGGACTATGAAATGAGCTCAGAACAGTGCCTGATACATAGTTAAGTGCTGTACCAGTGTCCTTCATAATTCTTTGCTTAAAAGTATGTGATTTTTTTTTCATTGCTGCAGATCCACCAATTATGACTTCCACATCAGTTCCTCTTGACAATTCTATCACATTTCCAATAACCCTGGGAAGCCCCACCTCCTCCCTCCGTCTGCTACCTTGCCCTTCTTCCGTCACTGCTCTAATATGTCTGAGTCTTTGCTCATGCTGTTCCTTCCACCTGGAATGCCCCTCCCTGTCCCCACCACTGCCTATAAAGCCCGAATCCATCTGTGAGACATAGTTCCAGTGGTATCATTCTAGGAAACCTTCCTGATGCTCCGGGAAGTAGCCACCTCCCTTCTCAGAGCTCCCAGCCACACCTCCAGGATAGCCTGTCATACACTGTCGCCTTCTAGACCAAGGACTCCCAAGAGCAGGGTGATCTGTTTCCTGAGTACCTGCCACCATAGGACATGCTAAAAATATATTTGTTGAATGAATGAATGAATGAATGAATGAGCAAACAAAAAAACATATTGTGAGAGTTTGAAAGGCTTAATATGAAGTTGGTCCCCTAGACCAAAGTGGGAAGATTGGAAGCCAGGAGTCCACATGAGGCTCCAGGGCTGACTCCTTCCCTCTCCCTGCCTCTCAGCTGGATGTCCGATGTTAGGTGGGGTGGCCTATCCACAGCAGATGAACTCAGGGGTGTCAGCTGAACACCCCACCCCACCCCACCCAGGGAGCCAACCAGGCATGCACCTGCCCCCAGGTGGCTACGTACCGGGGAGAAGGGGGGCACCTGGAGGCCGCACAGGAAAGAAGAGGGGGTTAGATGGATACAAGGGAGGGTCTCACTGACCCAGAAACACCCTACTTATCCCAGACCACCCAGACTCCAGTTTCTAAGTGCCCATCCCTAGAAGGCTTCTTAACACACCCATCTCCCAAACCCCGCTTGAGGCCCTTACTGTGATCCCCAATGCCAGGCTGTCCCTTCCACCACCCCCAAGGGCCAGGGGCAGGGCTGGCCGGGTACAGAAGTCCAGGGGTGAATTCTCTATTCTCCCTGCCACCCTGCAATGGGACGCACATACTTGATGGTCAGGTGGCGACTCTTGGGCTGAGGAGGCAAGGCCGAGGGTGGACCCTTGCTGAGATCTTCCACCGACTGCTCCAGGGGCTTGCTCTTCTCTGAGCTGGGGACCCCGTTGTCTGTGCTCTCCATGTCATACCTGCAGGGATTAGAGCGGAGCTGGAGGCCAACACTGCAGAAGCACTTAAGAGAGGGGTGGGGGAAACTGAGGGGACAGATGAATGTGCAGGAGAAATTAGAGGCTGGGAGGTAGAGGCTGTGTTCTCAGCACTGTGCTGGGCAGACTAGGGGACAAGGGAATGGTGGAACAGAAGAGGAAGCCACCCAAGTCCCAGCTGGCCACCCCAGGCCGCGTCCCTCCATATCCATGCAGGCCCTTAGGAAGGGGTACCGCCCACCGTGCAGGGTGTGGTTTGTGTGAACCCAGGGTGGACTCAGTCTGCACTGCTTAGACGTGGCCCAAGGAGTGGATGAGGTGCAGGGAAGCAGGGATCAGGGCTCTGAGGAGCAGCATGAGGACTGGAGCAGGGGGGCTTACGTGACAGAGCACTGGGCAAAGGCCAGGTACTCGAGGAGCACATCCAGGCCGCGGTTCTCCTCGTTGAGGAATTCTTCCACCCACCTGCAGGGCACAGGGCTCCCTGAGTTCCAGCCAGGAGGGAGGTCCTGCCCAGAGTGGGCACAGAACAGGCACAGCCAGGGCTCCAGCGCGGCTTCCCCCGTCCCCAGGAAGACACCAACCAGCCCAACCTCAGAAGACCCAGTGATGCTAGGAGATGCTAGGGGGCTCAGGTAGGACCCATGGCCCAGCCATGCCTCGAGGGATGACCAGAGAGGAGGCCGGGAACCTGTCCTGGACACCCAACCCAGAAGTGGCCTACAGGCACAGCCTACGCAGGGGTGGGGGGACAAGGGGGACAGGGGAATAGCAAGGGGAAGCCCCAGGGGCTGTCTGGAGGCAGAGCTCTCCCTGGCCCCCAAGCAGGAAATCTGAGCCCTCGCTCACCCAATGTGGTTTGTCCTCAGGGAGATCTCCAGCTCCCGCAGCACCTGCGTGGACTCCTGAACTCGCCTCTTAAACTGGGGGCCAAGGACAGGAAAGTCTGGTGGGTGACGTCTGGGCTTCCCACAGGCCCACTGAGCCCCAAGGTAGCAAGTCAGCAGCCCCCGCCCTCCCCCTACCACTGGCCTTTCACGTTCAGCCTCCCCCACCACCCCCACAAACCTGCCCAGCAGAATAAGCATTCTCAGGCTACTCCTGGCCCCATACACAGGCCCACAGGGTGCACGCTCATTCCTCCACACACAGACATGTGGCATGCTTGCGCACGCGCACACACACACACACAGCCATAGGGTACGCACACATTCAAATATGGATACCCTGGCTGTACACACACACATACTCATCCACATACAAGCACCCTGGGTACACAGATATAAGACACCCATACATCTGCATACAGACACATGGGGCGCACACACACACACTGCACAAATACGCACAAGTGGACCCACAAGTGATGTAAACATATGCAGAATATGCAGAGGAACGTGGAAAAAGTACATGCCCGCAGCCCTCCCAGTCCCCTAAAATATGCACACTCATTCATACGCGTGCCCACACAAGCCCACCAAAAAGTTTACACACACAGTTATTCTAGCTGCCCAGAGCTTGGAAGGTGCAGGGGGGAAGGGACAGAGAAAAAGGGGGAGACATATACCCCCAGGTTAGACATCCAGTCCGCTGCTACCTTTCGGCCGACCCCACCGGTTTCCAGGTAGCTCTTCAGCTTCTGGATATAGGCTGTGGGAGGGTTCTTGACTTGAAACCGCTCCTGGGGAGACGGAACAGGATGTACAGGGAGCCAGCCAGAGCCACCCCGGGGCAAATGACCAGCCCTTGCCCCAGAATCCCATTCTCAGCTCTGACCCCAGGTCCCAGGCTATCTTAGGACCCCTCTGAAATACCAAAGATGTCACCAAACAACCCACCAGGTCATTAAAAGACCCCGGTCCCAGACCTAGCCTTCACTCCTCACTATGGCCTCACAAGCCACAGCCCTAGCACAGCGCCCCCCCCCCCACTCCACCCCCACCAGTGGAGTTTGGAGGGGTCATTTCTGCC